GTTCTAGAGTGCCCAACCGGAAGTGTGTGGACAGTGGAGGAGGAGGAATCAAGTCTGATTATACAGAGCCAGAAGCTAGTCTGTAGAAAATTCTTCCAATTAGCAAAACTAAAATTTTAAGCAGAACATTCGGTTCTCTTCATGCCTTATCAAAAATGAAGCATTTTTGGGCCGGCCCCGTGGCTTAGCGGTTAAGTGCAGGCACTCCGCTACTGGCGGCCTGGGTTCGGATCCCGAGCGCGCAGTGACACACCGCTTCTCCGGCCATGCTGAGGCTGCGTCCCACATACAGCAACTAGAAGGATGTGCAGCTATCACATACAACTATCTACTGGGGCTTTGGGGGAAAATTAAATAAATTAAAAAAAAAGATTTTTTTTTAAATGAAGCATTTTTTTCTGTCAGAAATAAATGGATAACGCAGCATGTAAAATTATCAATGTACCATATTATTTTGTTCTTTGTATTTAATAGGAATCACACAAATAGAATTTGTAAGAATTCCTGTATTTGTAGGGCACGACACTACGGTGTTTCTATGAACAGCGAGTATTTCTGTGTGTGAATTCACAGTTTTATGCGTCCCAACAAATCAAGATTGCATCTCAGCGTATCTGATGCATCTTGTCATGATGAAGTCTGGCAGTTCCCGAAGAAATAGCACACACATCGATGAAGCAAAATGACCTGAAGAAATGATAAAGAGCTGCACCAGTGAGTTAATAGTAAAGATATCATGCTATTTTTCTGGATTTTGTGACATTTTTCAATTTTTTCAACTTTGTAATTTGTTGTGATTTCTTGCCCTATTCTGAATAAATAATCATTTTCATACCTGAATTTCCATCTGTAACTCTGTATTCTTTTTCTTAAGGTGATTAATTTCAGCCCCACAAACCTGTATCCACCCCTCTTTGTGTTTCACGCATTTCTTGTTTTAATGGAACACATCCTCCAGTATTTTCCTGAGAAAATGTGTGCAGGAATTTGTGGTTTTTTTGTTTTAGATCTTGGATGTCTAAAAGTACCCTTTTTCTACCTTATCACTTAAACGGTAGAATGGTTGGGTATAGAATTCTAAGTTGGAAGTAATTTTCCTTCAGAATTTTGAAGATATTGCTTCATTGTCTTCCAGCTTCTAGTGTTGCTATTGACAAATCCAAAGCCATTTTGATTTTTGTTCCTTTGCATGAGACCCATGTCTTGCCTCTGGATGCTAAAGAATCTTCTCTTTGTTCATAGGTTTCTGAAATTTCACATCATGTGCCTCAATGTAAGCCTATTTTATCCACCGTGCCGGACACTCCATGAGTCTTGAAATCTGGAAACTCATGTCATTTGGGCCTGGGGAATTTCCTGAATTATATCACTGATGATGTCTTTCTGTTTCATCTGCTATCTCTTCTAGGAAACCCATTATTCAGATATTGGATCTCCTGAACTGGACCCCAATTTTCTTAACTTTTCTCTCCTATTTTTCATCTCTTTGTGTTTTTGCTTTACTTTCTGGGAAGTATTCCAACCCTTCTATATATATACATATATATTTTATATCTAGAAACATTTTTTAAACTTCCAAGAACTCTTTTGTGGTTCCTTGAATATTCATTTTTTATAACATCCTTTTCCAGTTTCATAGATGCAATATTGTCTGCTATCTAAGGAAGTTAGTAATTGTTTTTTTTTTTTTTTTGCTCTGTTTTGGTTTCTCCTGCTTATATTGTCTTTTTCCTCGAGGTTTCTTATTTCTGTCTAGTTAATTGGTTGATTTTGACTCTTCTCTGTTAGAAGCTTTCCTTAGATGTCTTGAAATCCTGATTGTCTGGTCATATTCAAAAGTGAGAGATTAAAAAGCTGAGTTGGGGGGGCTTACCAACTGGGAGACTCATGGTAGGGATCTGGTTAGCCTGTTGATGGGGATAAATGTCTATATCTTTAGGTCTTTCCTCTTGGGCTGGTCAGATTCCCCAGAAGGAGATTCTTTCCAACTCCAGCACATATGGTAAAGCCTTCTCTGTTGCATTCCAAGAAGCAAGTTGGGGCAGGCAACTGAGGAGCTCAGCGTTCACAATGCCTATGTTCCCTTTATCTACTTATTTTTCAGGATGTTTCCAGGCACTTAACTGTGCCTGGCACTTCTCAGCCCAGATCCCTCGGTTTTAACCTCTCCAGAAAACAGCGCTTCAGACTTCTGCTGGAGTGAAGGAGGGGCAGTTCCCCAGCCAGGGGGAATGGAGGGAAGGTTCCAGGGATCTAACAATAGTATTTTTCAAACAGCTTTTTCCCAGGCTTCCTTGTTTTCACTTCTCCTTCACCCTCCTGTCTCAGAATATCTTGTGCTGCTAGTTCCTGAGGGTTATTTGTGTGTGTGTTGTTGTTGTTGTTGTTTTTTACAATTCCACAGTATAAATCATGCAATATCTCAATTTTCCCCACTCCTGGCTTAGGGTTCTGCTGTCTCCAGGCTCCTAAGGCAGTTACCACTTGTCCACCTGCTTTCCAGCTTCCAAGAGGATTTTGCTGTTGTCTTCTCTCTGTTCTCCCCATCTTAGTACGCTTATGCCTTTTTTTTAAATCTCTGTTTTGTAGCTTTTGTAGGGTTTCTGGAGGGGTAAAAATTAGATGGAACAGTGTGTTTTAAAACTCACCCTTCAATCTGTCATTTTTCTCTGGCAACAGACTATAGCTGCCTGGATTTTTTCCAGTTCAGAAATAACCTTTTAAAATTGACTCCTTCCATTCAGCCATGTTTGAAAGACGAAACACTTCCATACCTTGGCAATGCTTTGCTCACACTCGACTCCAAGAACCAAGACATTACCTCACGACATCTTGACTTCAACTGTGTAGCTGGGTTGTCATGCAAAGGATGCTGATATGCCTCCCTACTTTTTTCATTTCTTTCTCTTTGCTGCGTTGTCTGGGACCATCACCAATCCTTCACATTTGAGAAATTTTGACTCTCATGTCATTTACAGAAAGTTAGTTTCACAATCCCAGGGAGGCGAGTTAAGCAAACTTTGGAGAAATGAGACAGTAATAAAATAACTTGTTCCCTAGGCTTAAACCATCAAGCAGTATTTCTAATATTTTCTTTTTTTTTTTTTTTTAAAGATTTTATTTATTTTATTTTTTCCCCCCAAAGCCCCAGTGGATAGTTGTATGTCGTAGCTGCACATCCTTCTAGTTGCTGTATGCGGGACTCGGCCTCAGGATGAACGGAGAAGTGGTGCCTTGATGCGCACCCGGGATCCGAACCCGGGCCACCAGCATCGCAGCGCGCGCACTTAACCACCAAGCCACAGGGCCGGCCCAGTATTTCTAATATTTTCAATTCAACAAACTGCCACTCTATCATTATCATTATTATTATTATTATTATTATTATTATTATTATCATCATCATCATTATATGTGGGAAATAATCGTACTATGGATGCTAGGAAAAGATGCCGGCGTATATATGCCCTCTTAGAACTAAGAAAACAGATGAAATCTGCTTTCACTCTCCTGGTAAGCGTAAACATTTTTAAAGGACGTTTAGATTTTCTCAAGATTTCTTTCTCTTAATGAATTTGCCTTCAATTCTGTGGGGAGAACAAAGAACCTCTCTATTTTTCTCATTCTCTTCCTTTCCCCTAGGCCTCAGTTTCTCCATCTATCTGTCTGATGAGGGAAGTAGGCTAGAAAATAAACTCTGAGGTCCCCTACAGCTCATAGTCCAAGCTTTCCCACAGGTAGAGATGTGGGTGGGGTCATGACCCAGTATGGACATCTCTGTTTCCCTCACAGACTGTGGCCTCCCTCAGGGCAGAGTTTGCTTTATTCTCATCCTCGAAGACACACAGAAGAAAGGGGATGAACCCCCTAAGAGAGGATTCTCACCCCTGTTCATTCTGAGAGTAGGGGCAGCCTGGAGAGGCTCAGTGCTCCCAAGAATTAATCAGAAGTTGGGGCTGGACTGAAGACTGATGCCCTTGCATGTGCTCTGGTTCCTGTCCCAGTCCTCCTAGGTTGTTCTAGGTGACCCTGGCCCAGCCTCTGTCTGCGCACTGCACAGATAGCCCCAGGGGGCACGTGGAGTCATTTTGGCAGAACCCTGGTCTGCTGGCTGAGAGTCCCTGAACCGTCCACTGCCTCTCCTCGTGGCCCTGTGACCCTGGACTTGGTGTGTGGCCTACAGATGGAAGGAGAACCCACAGGACCCTGGAAGCCAGGGAAAGGCGGCACACCGCAGCTGGGAGGAGAGAAAGGAGCCTAGCGCCATTGTTTTTACAGCCCAACGATTGACGTGAATGCCTCCCGCCCATACGGCACATACTACTCCACTCACAATTCAAGAAGAGAGTCCTTGTGGACCTGTTTAGGTTTCTTCTCTTAGTCCTTTCCTGCCTTATGCATTCATTCACTCACTCATCCCTTCTTCAAAAATTTAACAAAGCAACTCCGTTTGTAGAAAACCCTTCCCGTGCTGCCAAATCCTCTCTCTCAATTACTAACTCGCCTGGCGACCTTGGGCAGGTTGCGCAACTCAGCAAGTCTGTTTACAGTCATCTGTAACGTGGAAGGATTGCTGTGAGCATTAGGACTACTGCAGGTGAAGCGCCCAGAGCAGGCTGCAGGCTCACAGTCCTGCAAAGAGTAGCTGCAGCGCCTGCTTTCAAGTCCAGTGAGCCTCCCGCCCAACTCAGGTAGCAGAGAGAGCGCAGACGAGGAAGCCAGGGCTTGGGTGATCCGCAAGTATGATTCCCGTGCAAAATGCGGCGCATAGGGGCCTCCTTTTCCTGGACGGGGAAAGGAAGGCGAATTGGCTTCCCCAGGGGCCTTCGAGCCTTTAGACAAGAAGACCGGATTACTCTCAGCCTGGAGAGGGAGGACAGGCCCAGGATGGTGTCAACAAGTCCCAGCACCCTGGCCGGGAGAGGCGGGTGCTGAAGCAGGAAGAGGAGGAGAGGGGAGGGGACAGGCCGGGCCAGCTCGTACTCCCGCGGCGCAGGGCGGAGCTCGGGCCGGTCCGCCCGCACACAGGTGAGCGAGCCGGGGAGGAGCGCAGCGCAGCCAGTGTCAGGCTTGGGCGCCCGTGGCCGCCGCTCCGTGCCACGGGCCACAGACGCTTTCCCCGCCGAGGCCGAGGCGCCCCGGAGCCATGGCCCGCCTGAACTGCGGGGTCACAATCGCACTGCTGGGGGTCCTGCTGCTGGGCGCCGCCTTCCTGCCGCTCGGAGTAGGTGAGTGCGGTGCTGCGGAAGCGGGTGGCGCCGAGTGGTCAAGATGGCCCGCGAGCCGGCGCCAGGCGGAGGGGTGGGGTAGGGACGCAGGGTGCGGAGGGTGCAGAGTTGGGGGACGGCGGCGGCGCAGTCGGGATGACGGATGGCGCGGGGTCCCCGGGACCGCCCGGCTCCCGGGCCCGCCGCGTTAGGCGCAGTGGCCTTACCCTCCAGGATTCCGAGCGACCTCGCCGTGGGCGCAGGCTGCGGCACGCGGGAGTGTCCCCGAGCCGGGAGCCCCGCGGTCGGGGGGAATGAGCGCGGCGCCCACCGACGAGGAGGAAACAGCGCGCCGCGCACTCGGGGGCTTTACTTGGATTCTTGGGGGCCCCCGGGTAGGGCGTGGAGAGGGAACTTTCCTCTCTGGCCCACCCTGTACCTCCTCGCCTGGACCAGGGAGAAGGTGCCGGAAAATAGCGGTTTGGCGCCCCGATATCCCATCCCTTTTCTCCTGTCCGCACGCTCCATTCTCGCTCTCCTGAAGTTCAGGGACATTAATTTGAAATTGAAAGCGCCAGGTAGGAGAAGGCCGCCGGGCATCTGCGCCGTGGAGCCTGTACATCCCCCCGCCCCTCGCATCTCTGTGCAGTGGACTTGGGCGGCAGAAGCGGGTTGGCAGAGGCGGACGTTCCGTAGATGTGTGTGAATTTCGAGTTGTTCCGGTTGGGGGAGGGACGGCCACATCCCAGCTGCTTGTGTCTGCAAGGAGGTGCCCTGCGGGCCCTGCAAGTAATAGAACAGAGTAATAACCTGGTTTCTTCAAATAAGAACTTGATTCGAGGCCTTTCCTGAAACTAGCACAGGTTTTGTGTTTTTTAAAGAGCTATCCAGGAAGAGATTTGGGTCTTTGATTACCCTTTGCTACACCTAAGGGGACCTGTATTTGGCAGGTAGAGAAATTAGGATAAATTAAATTAAGGAATAAAACTAAGCGGGTGAGGTGAACTCGGGCAATCCAACAACTGCCATCATTACAAATCCGAGACAGGAAAGCTTCCTGGTTCCTTTCTCCAACAGCATCAGGTGACTTCTTGCAGCACAGTAGGTGGAACATTGCAAGACCTCATTTAAAATATTGTGTGCTTGGGGGCTGGCCCAGTGTCATAGCAGTTAAGTTCACAGGTTCTGATCCCGGGCACAGACTTAACACACCACCTATCAAGCCATGCTGTGGTGGTGTCCCACATATAAAGTAGAGGAAGATGAGCATGGATGTTAGCCCAGGGCCAACCTTCCTCAGCAAAAAAAGAGGGGGATTGGCATGGAATGTTAGCTCAGGGCTAATCTTCCTCACAAAAAAAGAAAAAAATATATTGTGTGCATATTTATTGTAATTTAGGACTGAGTTTTCAAGATTCCCTTTGAAGGAAAAAATCAGTTTAAGAATAAAGAGTAATTTAGTTAATGAAAATGTGTCTAAATGTGTGTTTGAGAAAAATGTGTGCCCACCACACTTGGGAGCTATACTGGAACTCTGGGAATGTTTTCGATGTTTCCGGTTGTTTGTGATAATGGTTGAGAACTCTTCCAGTAAGAATATGGTGTAAATCAAGGCATTACGAATGACAACAATGACAGCCTGTACTGAACTGGCTTCTGTTACATGTCTGATTTCTCCCTGTGGCTTGGAGAGGCTGTCATTTTGGTCTCCAGTAGCTCCAGTGGAGTCCCTTCCTTCCAGGAAGTTCTTGACTGTCAGAGCTACGTCTCATGGTTCTGTGTATAAATAGGAGGAAGCCTAGGAATTCTCCTATTTCACGTTCTTAAATCCTTCCTATGGTCTCAGGAACTGGTCCTGTGAGGTCACATTGCCAGGCTGAACTGAGGGCTATGCCTTTGTGGTAGGAACTGTTGCCAAGTACATCTGCTTTGCCTAAAGTCGTGGGGTTGGTCTAACCAAAGGGGGCCTTTGAGAAGTTACTAGAGTCTGTCCTGAAAGGATAGAGAAAGCCAGAGAGAGCCCTGGCCCAGCGGATTTGTTTTATAATCCCTGAACTCTCTTAACAAAGACTCGGCGGAGTGGAAATGAAGTTGGTGTCCCTGCAGAGCTGAGAGTAAAGGAAAGCTCGCATCTTGGCGTGGTGTGTTCGTGTGAGTTCACAGTTCCACCAGCTCCCCACTTCCAGGGGTGAAGGACTGGTGAAACTGGAAGCAGAGACTTGCTAAAACCTCAACCTAGTGGCTTTCTAAGGACCACTCAGATACCAGAGTCTGGGTCAGTGACCCCATTCTTGCTGCCATTGTTCTTGCCAGAAATGTGAGCAGACGTCAAAGGACGCGTTCACTCACCCTGGGTGACTGTTACCTTCATCATTCTTCCGATTCAAATGAGGAGCTGCTGGCTGTTGTCTGGAATGTGTAACTGGCAGGGCTGATGATCCCTCTCCCTCCCCCACCCCCTCACAGATTTCTGACTTGGAGTCAGAGACGGCTGCTCTGCTGGTCATAGAGATGTGTTCGGGTGCCGGCTTGTCAGCCTCAGGATTCACCTCATATACTGCCGTACCATCTATGATGACTGTACAAACGCTCTTCTAGGAGTTCTCCCAGGCTTCAGTGTGGGGGAAGCAAGTTGAAAACAATAATTAAATTGTTTTAAGTAATATATAGTCGTAGAAAAATTGACAATAAATATAACCAAAATGGAAAACAGTCGCCTGTGAGCAAACCACCTTTGTCATTTTGCTGCAGAGTCTTCTCATTGTATGTGTGTGTTGTGTGTGTGTTGTGTGTGTGTGTTGTGTGTGTGTGTTGTATGTGTGTATAAAGCCAAAAATGGGGCCATCCCGTTGTATGGCTTTAACCAGTCCCCTACTGTTGGACATTTAGATTGCTTTCAATTTTTCCTACTAAAAGTAGAACATGCTCAACAATAGGAGACTGCTTATATCAATTTTGGTAGGTATGTTCAATGGAAAGACATTAAAAATTATGTAGCACAGATTTTATAATGACATGAAATGATGTTATCTTTGTGTTCCCAAGGTTATAAAATAATATAAGCTGGACTATCCCATTTTGATACATCTGAGAATGTGTTCTTGTGGCTATATTGTTCTGCACATTCTTCACTTTTTGTCTGACTAAAATTCTGGAAGTAGAATTGGTGGGATGAAGAGTAGAGAAAAGGTTAGGGCTCTGGATACATACTTGCATGCTGCCCCGTGGAGCGCTTATCCTGATGTCCTGGTGTCCATTCTGGCCAGCAGCATGTGAATGCCTGTTTCTCACACTCCCCCAGGCCGTCATCATTGTTGTTCTACTAGCATCTATGGAAAAAGCATCTTCTTCCCTCTAGTCCAGTAATCAGGGTCTGAACAGTGTTGGAGGATATTCGAGAATTTTAGGAGCACCCCAGCTGGGTGGTATTAATAGTCCAGCAGTGCTTTTTTTGCCAAAAGAAAACAGAACTGAGTCTCTTGGCTTATAACACAAGCCTCACCTGAAATTTTGCCCAGCAGTGCTGACGTGGGTTCAAACAGAGAAGGGGGGCAGAGTTTGCTGGTCAGAAGGACCAGTGATTGAGGTCAAGGTGGCTGGGGGGGCAGTAGAGGATGACAAGATCCCTGATATGGGAGACCCATGGCTAAGGCTCTCCACCTGGATGACTAAGGAAAGTTCATACCCTTTAATTATCATTCTAAATTATAAAAATTATCCCACAATCAAATTATTTCAAACCACTTCCTACACCCTTGTAATTAGCCCATCACCTTCTCCTGGGCAGCTGGAAACATTGTAGACAACTGGGCAGGGAGAGCCAAGTTCCCTCCCTCACCTCTTTGTAGCTTTGGGTTTGTATTCAGTACATCAGTTTTTAAAATTACTCACTACTACTTGTAATAGCTAACATGTATTGAGAATCTGCTCCGTGCCAGCCACTCTTCTGAGTATTTTGCATGTAAGCATCTCCCACTTAGCATCAGTAATTCATTCCTAAAAACCAGACATTCTGCATGAAAACACTCACCAATGCCCTACGTCTCATTATCTCACGTGGGAAAAACTATAATATCTCATTGCACAACTACTCAAACCCCCAACAGCATAGAGAAACACAGGCAGATACCTATATATGATTAACAACCAATTCTGTGAAATGTAAAACACGTACGGCATCACTTTCAGATTGCCGTAACATTTCTATGGTTTTTCGCAAACAGCTGCTTTGTGAGTAGTAACTTACTGCACCCCCTTTGCTGACCCTCGGGGCTTCTGCACTAGATCCTGACATTCAGCCTACTGTATTTGCAATATAAGTCGAGACTTTCCATGTATCATTTTGTTTACAATGTTGTGTTGTGTTTGGAGATGTAAGTATATGTTTCCTAAATAGACATTGGCCAAAAATAACTATGATGGATGAAACATAAGTTTTGCAGTGTTTGAGTAATAAAAACTAAGCTGTTTCTCCTGAGAAAATGTCAGTCGAGGAGGTGTTCTTGAGTAGACCTGCTAGTCATTTAGCTCTCCATCCTCAAGCAAGTACTCCTTCTAAGCCCCTGTAGAGAGGGGCACAGAGAGGTGAAGTAACTTGCCCAGGGTCACCCAGGTGGTATGTAGTGATGCTGAGATGGCAGCACAGGTAGTCTGGGTTTGGAACCCAGCTCCTGTCCCCAGTTTGCCGTGCCCTCTGTGCACAGCGGGACTGAAGACAGCATTTGCCAGTAATCCTAGAGACAGCATCTGAACTGCAGACAGTTTGTATCATTTTGAAAAAATCAACCAACACTTACTGAGTGCTGTGTTCATGGTTGTTCTAGGAATGTATGTGTGTGTGTCATATTCGAACAATTTAAAAACTGTGCTTAGAAAAAGAATTACCTGTACATGATAACAAAAATTCAAATAGTACAAAATGGTGTGCAGGAAAAGTATATCCCCTTCTACCTCTGACCCCAGGCCTCCTCCCAGAGGCAGCCCTGGTTTCTTGTGCATTGTTCTTGAACTATTCTACACAT